TGTGTGTGTGTGTGTGCTGACTTGTGACAGCTCTGCTATGTGAGGTAAAGGGACAGGGAGTGATGGCCTGGTCCTGGCTGGCTTTGATGGACACTCTAATGGGAGGCTTGGATGAGAAGTTAATTGAATGGGCCACTGCTGAATACGAAGAAGAAGAGTGGGCTCCTCTTCTTCAGTGGGAGGACTCTAATAGCTTGGCCAAGCTCACTGCACAACCACTCAAAGGTCAGAGAGCTGAGAGTGTCCAGATCATCACATAGCACATAGACTGCAGTGTATGGTTTATATGACCCTGTCAAGTTAAATTGCTTTTTAGATCGCACGGAAAAAAAAGTGCATGTGGATGTAAATCATCAGTTTGTGTTTATGAGTGCAGTGGATGCAGCTTTTACTCTGGTCAGTGTGCAGTGAAGTAGCTTTTGTGCCCCTTCACACATTTCTTAGACATATTCAGGGAAGATCTCGGGAAGTTTTCTTAGCCTTGATTTGACCCCAGTTTGAGGCGAGCAAACCTGAAAGTGGAAAAAGTCTTTGAGTGTGTTTCTGTATACTTTAGCTTGTGTGTGTATGTTTGTGCATCCGTGTGTGACAGAATGATGCTGGGAATTAATGCAATATTGGATTTTTTCCGTGAATTATACACGTCTCACTAATCCCGCTGTAAATACTCCTCAAGACACAATTGTAACACAGTTTTTGACCTAGTGTTTTACTAATGTTGCTTGGACGATGCTATGTCATACTAAGCTATTAAAATATTTATAGATTCACCTTCTTTATAAAGGGAAAAAGTTTTAAATTGGCTAATTTGAGAACAAATTATCTGCTCAACACAACTGCTGTGACTGCTAAGTTGACAGCCAACTACAAGAGCGGATCAACCTTCACATCACAGCAAGAACAGCTGATCATTTAAACAGCCTGTTTAGAGTTGAAGATTAAGCTGAACACAGCAGGGCACCTCGAAAATGCTTCACTTCTGCAACACTTCTGTCCGCTGGCATCAAGTGCAGCAGCTGGGCTCCCCACGACTAATATAGGAGAGCCTGTAGGTAAACAGATGAATAAGCGGATTTAGGCTGCAAGAAGGCCGGGAAAGATTGCTCTCTTAGGGAAACAAACTCTTTTTGTCACATGCAGCACAGAGCTGCCTGGTCTGTTTCCATAGTCCTGAGTCGACAGAGACCGATGGACTGTCCCTTCCTCTCTTATCGGAGCTGCTGCAGCCCCACAACGTCGGGCTGCAGGCCTGCAGAGACCTTCTCTCTTTTTCTACCAAAGTCACACACATGCACACTAACACACACATACATACTTCGTTGCATGCACACTTGCTCTTGAATTTTACATAGTTTTACATGGAGTCTTATATGGATCTGCATAACATTAAGGGCACACACTACTTTATTTGTTATATTTTTGCTAGCAGCATTGTGGGTCGGTCGGTCAGTCCAACACTTTGGTCCAAACAGAAATATCTCAATAACTATTTGATGTATTGCCATGAAATATTGTGCAGACATTCATGGTGCACAAATAATGAAGCCTACTGATTTTAGTGATCCATTGACTTTCAGTCAGTGAAACATGAAGCGTCTCAACAGCTGTTGGATGGATGGGATGATGAATGCAAATTGATGCAAACATCATCAGGTTCAATTTTAATAAGTTTGGTTTATGACCAATTACCTGCTAAACAAAAGACATTACCATCAACTTCAACTAATCTGCTGATTATTTATATTACTTAAAACAATTCCCCCACCCCCCTTACTATTATGTCTATGTTATTATACTATGCCTTGCTGAAAAGCCAAATGCCTTCCAGTGACAAAATAAAGTTAAAAGTTGATGTTTTACCCTTATGTGTGCAATATAAATCATTATGACATATTGTTCCTCTGTTGCTGGTATGGATTCCCCTCACTGGACTAAAATTCAACCCCTGAAAGACCTCTTCTAATCTATTTCCTCTATTCTGTCCTCATCCTGTCTATTAGTTCACTCCTCAGTTCACTGTGTCCTCTTCTTTTCCTGCTCCTGTTTGCTTGCCTGTTGTCCCCGAGGGTTGGGAGTCGTTTCACAGCGGATAGAAAATACAGCACTGAGGAACACGGCTCAAGCGTGTGTCACTGATATTTTATTAAGTCTTATCAGACTGCTGTCTCTCACTTGCCCACTAACCTCTCTGGAGTCTGTCATTCAGCATTTATCTGAATTTCTTAAACACCTGTGGCCACAACTGAGGCGGAGCTGTGAGTCTTAAGGGGGTTTGATGTGTTGACTTGATCCTGTATTTCATCACGTGCTGCATAATCACATCCTCCTTTAATTCCAGATATACTTCCTGCTTTATTTTTATTTTTTTACCTCCTTTTGGTCCTTCTTGTGTCTTTTTCTTGAGTTTACTCTCCTTCAGTCTTCCTTCTGCTCCTTCTTATTTATCTATCTCTCATCTGTTTTCATGTTCTCCCTCAGTGCTGCACTGTCAGGTTCCTCATTCCTCTTCTGCATACTCTAAATTCCCCCAAACTCTCTCTCTATCTTTCTCCCTCAGTGTTGTTGCGTGAGGAGGTGGCCCAGCTTCAAGAGGAGGTCCACCTGCTCAGGCAAATGAAGGACATGTTAAGTAAGGACCTGGAAGAGACCCAAGGAGGCTGCTCTGCCAATCTGCTCTCAGCCACCGAGCTCCGTGTGCAGCTGGGTGACAAGGAGCAGGAGTTGGACCGTGCCAAGGAGGCCTTACAAGGTCAGGAACCCAGACTGGGCGTCTTGTTGTCGCACCTAATCCACCAGAGTCGCTTCTTTCAAACAGCTAGTTCGAATATATACAGCAAATACAGCTGTCAGAGATTTTAGTTTCTCCCTTTTTATAGTTCAAGCAAGAATGTGTTGTAACTAAATTAAATCTCACCCGTAAACAATTATTATAGTAGTAGTATAGTAGGTGTTATTTATGCGTCATGAGAAACATTTCCCAATGGAATTACAGGACAGCATTATATCAAACATCAAAACAAGACCTCTTATGGTAACACATACACAGTAAAACCAGAGGAAAAACGTCAGTTATACATTATTATATGTACTTCTATGAGGAAAAGTAAAAGAAAAAAAAGAAATGCTACAGGCTACAGGATAAAATATATTTTTCCTCGTCTCCCAGGTTTTCTCTAAGAAACTGGTTAGAGTTAACAAGTTAAATGTTGTACATTGAATTATACATTCTCACAGTTATACATTCATTACTTACCCTTGATATCAAGGATGCCAAACAATTGATGAAAATATGTCCATCAAGCCTGCTTCCACTTCTACATTCAGTGAGCGTTAAGATATCAGACTCATTGTTGTGAAATATCCTGTTCTAATTGGACTGACATATGTTGTTTAGTTCTGAATGTTCTTTGACTTATGTTCAGCAAACAAGAGTGAATCATTTAAACACAACATATTCTAACTAATTTAATGCTAATGTATTTCTAATGTCACAAATCAAACACATTCCCCTGTTGATTTTATGAGCCGACTCTGTCTTTGTGAATTGTTTAAAAAAATCTATTATAGTTTTTATCTGACTCAAGACAGTATTGTGTGGTTCCCAGTAAAAAAGCACAATAGAAAACAAAATGACATTTTCAAATCTGTTACAAACACTATTACAAATCCACTTTTATTTCTCCAGAGTACAGTTTCAGCACTGAGTCGTAAAATATCTGTGGCTTTTGTGAGCACTTGCTTCTAAGATAAATTAAATGAGACACAATTCTCTGTACCATATTTCATCATCATAAAATATACGCAGTTGTGATTCAGTCCACTGACACTGACATTAGCCCATTGTCCATTACTCTCAGCAAACAATAAGAAAAGTTGTGCCAATAAAAAGATGATTTTCTTTTCTTTTTCTCTTTATAATAAGTGAAGTAATTCAACAGTTCCCATCTTTGGGAGAGGAGTAGAAAAGGATTATTGCAACAAAAATAAAAGAGGGGAATCCAAAAAGGCACTTGCTGCATGCTTTGCATGGTTCTCTGCTCTGCTCCGAGAGACGCAGGTGGTAAACTGCTAGCTCGTGTGTGTGTTGTGTAACTGCTGCAAAACAGGTTTGAATGTTGAGTTTAAGGCTGAACGTTGACATGAGGAATGCTTCCAGAGTGATACATATGTGCGCAGTTATGAAAAATACAGGTTACAGTCTTGGCTCTCCATTGAGCTGAGACTCTCAGGGAAGCATTGTTATTTTTTTCTTGCAAAGAGCCCCACTAGTTGCATCATGGCTGATGAGTTATCTCTGCAAGAGAATGAAGTTGAAAGAAATCTGATCCAAATGGTCTTCTCAGGGATGACTCTCCACATGCCAGTCGAAACTGTTTCATGTATGAATGAATAAGTGCCACTGTGCCACTTATCTTTTTAGACGATTACATCATTTTCTCAGAAAAAAACACAAAAAACAAAACTCCAGCTGCAGCCCCCTATTAACAGAATACACAGTGTCACCTAGTGGTTCCCTGGTGCAATGGCAAAGCTTTGTTTCTGGTTTAGAGGCAACCAAATCTCACTGAAATATTCTATTTGTTATGTTCATTTTGATAGCTGTTCCTTGTTGTACATATATATGTGCTGCTTAGTGTGTGTGAATATGTTGTTTTGTTTTTACAGCTATGAAAGCTGACCGTAAGCGTCTAAAAGTGGAGAAGGCAGACTTAGTGAGTCAGATGCAGCAGCTGTACACAACACTGGAGAGCAGAGAAGACCAGCTGCGAGAATTCATACGCAACTATGACCAACACCGAAAGGTAACACCAACCCAGCCGGTTTATCAGTGTTAGCTTAGTGCAGATATGTCCTAATTGGTGAAAAGCCAAAGACATGTCTGAAGCAATTTGGAAACAGTGTCTCCATTACAGAGTTCTGCCACCAGAGAACAATAAAGCATTTTATAGGATAACGTTAAGAAATTGTTTACAACACACTACAATGTAGTTGTAAGCTGATTTCTATCAGATCTGTATCAGATATACAAGTGTTTAACAACAATATAACTCCTCCTGTGGGCACCCATATGTGGAGGCTGACAGATAATAAATGACAATAGTAAAACACAGTTTTAATAATATGTACATGAATATGTCTTCATGTAGGAGAAGTTATGATTGTTGACAAATACTGTGCATTAATTAACCTTTGAAATGGTCTTTATATCTGTGCACACATATTATTATCTGTTATAAACCCTTTATTAAATGTTGTATGGGTTGGTTTAACAGGTTAAACATAACTAATTTAATAAATAAACCTTGGAAAGAAATGTTTATATAGTGCTCATATATAGGGGTAAAGCATTAAACATATGGTTATATATCTAGGGGAAATTTAAGGGATAGTATCATACATTTTTATTTATGTGATGTGTAAAGATTTTAAATTCTAAAATATGGATATTGGTATCTGCCTTAAAACTCCAGTATTAGTCTGACTATACCCTCAGATTTATAACCAATACCACTGCAGTTTCTTACTGTTACCTCTAAAATGGTTTGTCTCACAGTGTCTTCATGTATCCACCCTTTTAAGAATACAAGTTTTGAAATAGATTATAACAGAAGCTGTGAAATGCTCCTTGACTCAAAAGTAGAGCCCCATTCATCATACAGAGTGAGTTTGGCGGAGATTAACCATGCCTTTGTGTGTGTGTGTGTGTGTGTGTGTGTGTGTCGTCAGGAGAGTGAGGATGCAGTGAAAGCCCTGGCCAAGGAGAAGGACATGCTGGAGAGAGAGAAGTGGGACCTGAGGAGGCAGACCAAAGAAGCCACAGAACAGGCCAACATACTGCGTTCTCAGATGGACATGAAGGAGAACAGGGTCAAAGAACTGGAGGCCGAGCTCACCATGGTGAGTCAGCCCCACACGTGGACACTTTGTTAAATTAACTCAAGCACATTGGTGTGACCTTAGCATCATTATCTGGTATGTATGGCGTAAATGCAAACAAGGTGTGGGTTTAGCAATCCCGTCCCTGTATTCATATCAGTTCAAACACATGCAGTAAGCTGCTCTGCTGTATATCCTCATCCCTTCCCTCTCTCAAAGCATTAATTCTTTCTCCGGGCTGGAGAAGAAATTCATGCCTTTTTTCTCTGTGTTGCCGTGTCGGTCCCTCTGAGGTACAGTTGTCAGTCTGCGTGTCATTAATCTCTCTCCTCCCTCGGCAAGTCACAACCACCCACGGATCCTCACATCAAGCTGCATCACAGATCAGATTTGTTGCTACATCAGTGCCAGAGCTACATCATTGTCAAGCAGCCAAACCACAAAATACATTTCTACCTTCTTTTTCTTCTTTCCCTTCTCTATTTAAAATTGTATTGTTTCCAACGATTTTCTTTACGACTAAATGGATGTCTACTGAATGCCCTTTCAGAGGCTTCCAATAATAAAATTTTGTGAGAAACATTTGAAATGGACCATTTTTAAGATGCTGTATTAAAATATTGGCTGCTGGTGAAGAGTAAAACTGCTGTTATTGATTTGTTGTTGTTGCTGTTGGCAATAATCCCATGAAAAGACCAAAACCAATAATGTGTTTGTCCATCATTCAATAATTCCCTACCTTTCTGTGGTAGGGTAAATATATAGTCTTTTTTTAATAAATATTGTCCTAAAACAGATGGGCACTTTAGCTTTTAGCAAAAATCACTCAACCATCAGTGAATAGTATATTTTTTAGGAACTATTTTCAGCAGCGGATTTATACACATTTGGTGCTGTAGTGACTATTTACAACAGCAGGTCGGTGAATGTGGGATTGACTCAAAATAAACTGCTGTGTGGTCTTATAGTAGTGAAGGAACATGTCACCCAGTGCTACAGTGTGGCTCATTGATGTCTTGTACAACAATGGAGCTCTAAAGCACAAAGGAATATCAAGCTTTGCCTACACGGGCAATATTTGTAGGATCAATTGTTTTGTGTCCTGATGGGATTTGTTGACAATAAGAAGAAAAGATCATCCTTTAAATATAAAGATCCCATATTTAGTAGTGTAGTGTATCGTGCACGTGGGTGTAAATACACACATTCATGCATACAGTGCTTATGTGAGTTTATGTAAGAGCCACAAGAGACACGTTTATTTATATGGCACATTTCATGCACACAATTAAAAGTGTTTTACGTAATGTATAACAGACATTAAAACATACAGACGAATACAGCTATATAACTGAAACCAAAGAAATAACTACCAGAATAAAGAGTGTTTGTTTTACTTTCAGCTCACGCTCAGTTTCTGTTTCTCGTGTGTTTTCCAGGCAAAGCAGTCTTTGGCCACTCTAACAAAAGATGTACCGAAGCGCCACTCATTGGCCATGCCTACAGAGCCCGTGGTGAATGGCAGTCAGGAGTGGGTGATGCAGGCCGACCTGCCGCTTACTGCCGCCATCCGTCAGAGCCAGCAGACCCTCTACCACGGACACACCACGGACAGACAGGGTAGGTTCTATTATCTGATCTGCTTCTCAGTCTCTGTGCTGCTTGGTGCTGCTTTTACAGACTCAACATACTAACAGAGGGTTTTCTGGAGGTGCCTCATACTAACTGTGGGAATTTTTCAACCTGTGTGAATATGTGTGTGTACGTATTGTGTGTGTGTGTGTCACATTCAGCTGTGGTCAGGATCAGCCCCTGCCACTCTCGCCAGCCCTCAGTCATCTCTGACGCCTCGGCGGCCGATGGGGACCGCTCATCCACGCCCAGCGACATCAACTCACCTCGTCACCGGACCCATTCCCTCTGCAATGTAAGAGCTGCCTGGCCCCCTCGACCAAGTAATCACACCTCCACACTTTTCTATAAGTACCTCCCTCCTCTTTGTCTTCTCCTGCTTGTGTCTGTCCCTCTGTTCTGTCGGCCTGCTGGGTGTCAGCCTGCCTGCTTGGTGGTGGTGATGTTATTTTGCATTTAACTTACTTCAAAGTAATAGTTTGACATTTTGGGACATAGATATATGAAGCTACAGCCAGCAGTTAGTGTAGCTCACCATAAAGAAAGGAAATTGAGGCAAACAGCGAGCCTAGCTCTGTGCAAAGGTAGCAAAATCGTACCAACATACCAGCACATGTTGTTGTTAAATTAGTACAAAAACCGAAGTGTAAAAACAACAAGTTATGGTGTAGTGGGAGTTTATGTGCTGGACAAATTCTCCACTGGGAGCAGTAACTTCCTGGTTTCTTGTTGAGGTTGCCAGGCAACCACCAGAGGCAGAGGCCAAGATGCAGTCAGCCACATGATCCACCGTAAAACCCCCTTATTGTTTCTTTTACACATTGGTTTCTGAACACATCAAACAGATACAACGTGTAAATTAGTGAGTTTAAGATCAGGGGCGGGACCTGAGTGGTTGTCAGTAGGCCATCCATAGATGTAGGCTCTTTAGAGTTACAGATAACAGCTATTATTAATAGTATAAAATATTTAATGTTGTTTTGCCTTCTTTTTCGCACTGAATCAACAATATAACTATTAATAATGCACAGTTTATTAATTGCCAAGAACCCTGTCTTGAGACATTTGGATTTGTGACATTTTTACTCATTTACATTTACAAACACGACCCTTCCTTGCTAGTGGGTGGATTTTGTCCCCTTTTGACAGAGCCAGGTTAGCCGTTTCCAGTCTTGAAAACCGGCTGCTGGCAACAGCTTCATATTTACTGTAGAGACATGAGAGTATCAATCCTCTCACCTAACTCTCTGTAAGGAATTGATTAAGTTTCCCAAAATGTCCCTCTACTGCTTTAACTGAGCTGTATGAGAGGATGAACCTTCATATAAGCTTCCTGTTTCCTCTGCCCTGTTCAGTCCATGGAGGACCTGGAGGACCAGAAGCGTAAGAAGAAGAAGGAGAAGATGACTCTGGGATCCCTGTCACGGGTGTTCGCTCGGGGCAAGCAGCGCAAGTCAATGGACCCCGGCCTGTTTGATGGTACAGCCACCCCTGATTATTACATAGAGGAGGATGCCGACTGGTGATGCTGAGAGCGTGAACGTGTGTGTGTGCGTGTGTGAAATTTGTGTGGATATCCACACAATGGCTTTAACTGTGTGTAATGAGTGTGTGTGTGGGTATGTCTGGAGGGGGGAGGGAGGATTTTAAAAGAATAGCCTAAATGAGACTGCTATGCCCATAAATGTACAGTATATTACTCTTAAATTGTATGTTTGTAAATTAGATATATATTTATAGATGTACATGTATGCATATGTATATATGTTTACATGCATATAAATATATACATGGGGTTATAATTATGTGTAGACATGTTTATGCTGTATTATCTTCAAAATGTCTTAATGTTTTATGTTTTTTTTTATAACTGGAGACTTGAAGGACTGCTGTTCATATGTAAATAGGAGTTATTGTGAAACTAGTGTTTTTACTGTAAATGTCATTTGGCTTTTGTTACTTTACAGTTGCTTTTATCATGCTTTGCAACATTGATTTCATAGTTTCTTCTTGTTTCCAATCTTACTTGGCCCATTTCTCTCCATATAGGAGGGGATATTCCCTGATTGGCTTGAAAAATGAATCTCTTGGAGGTTTATTGGCCAAATTCTGTTGTTTCTAACCGCTTGCTGATATAAAAAATAGTACTTTGTTTGAGAGATATTGCTGGTGCAGGATTGTCATCTTGATCATTTTATACATTGTGGCTCACAGTATTTGCTGATAAAACATATCACAATGCGGGCAGCCGGGAGTTGAGGTCTCCTCATCCATTTTATGCTAAAAACTATATTCTCAGTTACTATAATTAATGACTGGCTAGCAAGGGTCTTAGAGTCAGTCTTCCCTAAGAAAATGTAATTGTACAGACCTGAATGCACAAACAAAAAATTACAGTGATGCATATTCAGGCACACCTCTCGCCTGCTGTTGAAACCATGTGCAAGTGCCAAAGGTTAAATGTCATCTTTAGAAAATCTGCGTATCATTCTGTCACTGTTAGCGCTAGCCTCGTAACATTGTTTGTCTGACTCATTTCTTACTGAGAGCTATCTAACATGTGCCAACATGTGACAAAGGAATGTGCATGATCCCTCTGTGTTGCTTTGATTAGATGTTCATTCATTGCCAACCAAATTAATAATCTCCACAATCCTGTGTTGCTCCTGTGTTGCCTTTTCCCTTTTATCGAGTTATCTTTCCTTGCATTATGAATGCACGGTCCCTCTTATTTATTTATTCTTTTTTTTTGTTGCTGTTTTTGTTTTGCTTTCTGTAGAATCCCTCCTCATTTATTGCAAATGTGGCTCTAATAATTATATGTCAAATGCTTTGTAATTTAGGAGATGTTCCATAAAAGATTAAAATTTATTGAAGTATTTTATTTAAAAAATAAGACAAACAAGACTTAATTTCAAATATTTATCTGCTGCAGCTGTTGCAGCCAGATGTTGAGGAGGTTTTAGCATTTTCAAAATGAATTATAATTGAAATGAAATCTTATTTTAAAAATAAAACTAGTAACTGAATACATCCTATGTGGCAGTTTTCTGTTCCATGAGTAATCTTGTTCTTGTGTCCCAGTCTAACGTGTCTCTCCCTCTCCTCCTGCCATTTCTAATGGCAACTCTCTCCTGCCAGTGAGTAACTCCTCATCTGTGATTACCAGCTGTCTGTTTCTGCACTCTGGGGATTATTCATATCACTCAGGTCCATTGGAAAAACAATCAAGTTTGTGTCATTTATTTTGTGGAAACTCTTTTAAAAGAGATGGTGGACTTTGCATGCAGCATTTCTGTCAGCATGTGGGGACGAATCAGGTAAACACACAGAGTTCATCCTGGATTCGTCGGTTCAGTGTGAATCCATGTTTTCCTGTGGTTGAGATGAGCGGTTAATGGGCAGAAGCATGATGTTTTATGAATAATCCCTGTGTCTCTAATACATTATCCTAATGGTCTGAAGTCCCCTCATGATCATCAGATACCTCGTATTTTAACAACTTTACTAAACACAGTACTGTAGTATTACAAGTTAAGGGACTGCTATACTCTCATGAAGAAATAAATGAAATAATATTTATTTAAACCTTCTAATATAGTCTAGTTCATTCAAAGACACAGGAAGTGTAGCTCCAGTGAATTATTTTGGCTCCATCTAGTGGCCATGTAGTGCAATTGCCAAACATTTTATGTGAATATTGGTAAAAGGAAAGGGTTAAAACTATTTTCCATGCAGTTGACTAATGACTCTGACTTGATTGATGTTAGTAAACACAAGAAGGAGCCATAAAGGCATATTTCTGTTGTTGCTATACAACAGAGATTCTGGCATTTAGTATAACATCCAGTTTCTTGCTTGGTATGGTTACACACTGATGTGGAGGTGTATTTTTGATGCAAATACCCTCCATTTCTGATGTTACTCTGTCTCTAGATGAGTCATTTTTTTGATTTCCATATCCCTCTGACCCTGAACCCCCTCCTGTATGCCACACCATAACTTCTCCTGACCAATCCAGACTCTGACAGCCTCACACAGCAGAGCCTGTCTGATGGAGAGGAGCAGCTGGACCGCCTCCAGCAGGCGGAGCTCACTCGAAACACATGCATGTCGCTGTGGAGGGCAGGTGCAGTCCAGGCCTGGCTGGAGGTTGTTATGGGAATGCCCATGTACACCCGAGCCTGCTCAGAGAACGTCAAAAGTGGCAAGGTACACCTTCAGCAGAAGTGCTTTTTTGTTGTTTGTTTACTTTTCGCTTGAGGGTGGGATGGGGTTTGAGCAGATGGGGATATTTAGATGCTGTTACTGTCTGATAAAGAACTGGATTTGTGTTTTTTAGGTGCTGCTTGGGCTGACAGATGAGGATTTAGAGCTGGGTCTGGGTATCAGTAACCCCATTCATCGAAGGAAACTAAGACTGGCCATTGAGGATTACAGGAGAGCTGAAGGAGACCAAGTGTGAGCAGCAGCAAAAACAACACTCTCAAAGAATTGAACTTCTACTCCACTGCAACCCAGACAGAAATATTGTGTTCTTTTTATTTCACTATATTTACTGTATTTGACAGCTTCAGTTACAGGTTACGCTGCAGATTAAGATTCAAATATAATGAGTTTATAAAATATGATGTATTGTTGCCGATTAAACCAGCCAACAGTGTATAAAATTGTTCAAATGATCTCCATCTGGACCAGCTGCAACAGAAACAAACAAAAAATCTATAAAAAATAAAAGACAATTTTTATGCATTATGAGTATTTTTACTTTTACTTTGTAAACACATTTTGTTACTTATATACTTTTAAATAATATTTGAATGCAGGCAGTATGTTTACATTGTGGTAATGCTACTTTACTACTTGCTTATCGGTGGTGTATAATCATCTTCTAGACTATCAAAAGCTTCCGAGATGGACCATCACTGGGTAGCAACATCATGGCTGAGTGACGTTGGGTTGCCTCAGTACTCCCAAACCTTCCAGACTCATTTAGTGGACGGGCGAGTGCTGAACTCTCTGAGCCGCAGAGACCTGGAGAGATTCCTCAACATCAGTGACCAGTACCATCAGACCAGTCTACTTCTGGCCATCCAGCTCCTGCAGATGCTCAGTTTCGATAAAGAGGTCAGATTATAGATCTACATTTACAGTGAGATTCGATGAAAAGCTATTGATAGTGAGTGAAGTCTCCTCAGCAGTTGTTCCTCAATCCTTATTTTACTTGTCTACACTCACTAAACTGCATGTGATGTCCATTATTATCCACCGTAGCTTGAGGCACAAAGAATCCTGTGCTGCTGCATTATCTCAGCAGGTCCTTGTCCTTCCCTGACCTCTTTCTGCCACAGAAGTGCTTGTGCAGTTATCTGTGTGTTGCATCTTCGCAGGTCCTGCAGGCACGGCGGGCAAAATGTGAACACCAAGACCGGGACCCCATTGTTTGGACATGTCACAGAGTAATGAAGTGGATCAGAGACATAGACCTCAAGGTGGGTGGGAGGTCAATTACCGTGTTCCCCTTTTTCTCGGGAGATTTGTAAGGCAGATCGTAACCAGATAGCACCACTAGTAGTTTCTAAGACTCTAAGAAGAAGTAAAAGAGTGGTGTATACACAGAAATTTAAGAAAATACCATAGTGTTGATCCTCAGTGACATCTGTTTTTAGTATCCCTTCGTCTGACATGCTTATTTTTGTAGCTCTAGAAACTAAAACACTATTTCTGCCCCCCTCACCTTCCTCTGTGTTGTGCTCTTCAGGAGTTTGCAGACAATCTTCAGGGTAAAGGGATTCATGGAGCTGTGATGGCTCTGGACCCATCCTTTGACACAGATGCAATGGCCAAAGCCCTGGGGATCCCCAGCAACAAACACATGCTGCATCGTCACCTGTATGAAGAGATGAAATCACTCGCCGTCCCTCACAGGTAGATTAAAACCCTTCAACCATTCCTTCCAATATTTAAACCTTTAAACTGATTTTGTTCTTTGATAGTTAATTATTTTTTGTCTTAAAGTTTGACCACGTTCTTGTGAATCTTGTGAAAATAAATGTGATTGTTCTAAGAATTAAATTTGAATATCATCCACATAAATGAATATGTCTTGTATTCACTGCAGTGAGCAGGGCAATGAGGTTATTGGTTCCTCTTCACCCGTGGCTGTTAACCGCTTTGCTGAGGAGAGAGTGTCTATGAGAAGATCGGCCAAGGTATGATTTAATTTCACCCTTATTATTACTATTATTTTAACATTTACCTGGAACATAGGTTGCACATATATGTTTCAGCGACTAGTTGACTGTTGATGTTGCTTACTACATTTGCCAACAGGTTGGCTAGTTATGGATGGTTTTATTCACTTATAGCAACAACTTTCAGCAGTTAATTTGTAAAACGTTTTTGTTGACATATATTCATACATGTCAAATCAAGTACATTTGTATTTATATAGCCCAAAAATTACAATTTATAATTTGTCTCAGGTGTCAATCTCTTTACAATGTGTGCAACATTCAACACCGTCTGTCCTTAGACCCCTGATTTGGTTAAGAAAAAACTCAACAAATTAGTGTACAAAACAAAACAACAAAATCATATTACACACACATTTTGATGACACAATGTCTCATACATAAAAATTATAAAATATATCTCTTGGAGGTGACTTCGTGGACTAGTGGTTTAAGGCATGTACAATATTCAGCATTCCTGGTTTGATTCTGGCTGGGTATCTTTGTTGCATACCTCTCTCTCCCCTGAAATTTCACATCTGTCTTCACTTTAACTGTCAAATAAAGGCTAGAATCAAAAACAAACAAACAAAAGGACAGCTGCAAAACATTTTTAATATTATTCTGCTTAACAAACCAGTAGTTCTTTCATTTGTTAGTGAATGTTTCTTCCTTAATGTAACATGTATCTTTGTCTGAAGAGATGTTGAGGTGGGACATAATGAGGGGAGGAATCATTAAAAAGTGTCAAATGTGGTGTTAAATGGACAGTTTAATTTGGTGGAAGGGTTTGGAGACATTGTTCAGAAATCTGTTTAACTGGTTGTTGCAACATGGTGTTACAGTTTGGATATAAAAAATAAGTGTGTACAATGAAAAGAAGAAAATGCAACTGAAACTGTATTTGTTCACCTAGTATAAAGTCAATGTAATTGAAATTGATAGTTTTTATGACACACATTCATACCTTGAAGCCCAGTACAACCATATTGAGGATAACTTTAAACAAGATGAAATTTAAAATGTAAAAGTCAAAGTGAAAATGGCAACTAAACTATTTTTATATTTTTTTTATGGGACACTTAAACTTTATTATGAGCTGATAATATCTGACATTTTTAAGAAAGGTCAGTGCCCTATTTTGGATTCAACGTCTTAAAAGAAATTCCACATTCTTATTTTTATGCCTTTTCATTTTTCCAGAGTCCGCTGAGGTTACGTGCAAACAGCCACTCTGTGGAGCGAAGTCTGGGCTTCCACGGCAGCTGCGGCTCTCTGCCCAGAGAGGCCAGAGTTCAGGCCGTTCCCCGGGCCAAAGGCAGCCCGATGCACACCTACAAGAGTGTTGAAATCACCAACGTCTGAACCAGTCTCCACACATCAACATTGCTCACGTTGTTATTATTGTTTACATTGTTGCTGTATTATAGTTGTTTACTACTGAGAGTGACCTACACTCAGCATACAACCAGACTTTTAAAAAGGAAATTGTCTTAAAGGGGGTGTACCACATAATTTAGTAATTCAAACATATTACTATTTTGGCCAAAATAAGAATAACACATACTCTGAATAGAGCTGATGTTGTAAATATAATGAAAAGGAACAGAGTCAGTTTTGTTTTTTTATATTATAGAAGGCTTTAGAATAACCTACAAAAATAACTGAACACAGTGTTGTTCTCCTTTGATGCCTTATATGAAATAGGTCACACAGCACTGCTCTTCTCTTTCAACTATTTCTAACGTGACAGTTAAAACATTTTTGTTGTTGCACATGTAAGTGATTAATTCTACTTGAGGTCAAGGGGAAAAAAGTCATTCTAACTTTCACTGTAGAGATACATATCCACTGTTAACCTTCTGAAGAGACTGTGTTACTTCAGCGGCTACATACATGAGTGAGATGTTTCCGGCTTAGATCAGTTCTTCCACCTCCTCTGACCCTTCTGGTCAATGCAAGTTAGTCATCACAGATCTTATTATTACTGTAATAGATAGTAGACCTTCATTTAAAATGTGGCAGAGCTACATTTGCCACCAAAATGGCCAAGAGGTACAACTTTTATGACATATTCTAGCACACAAGACAATCTTTAACATGGATTCTGTACTTTTTAAAACTTGTAAAAATAGATCTTCTCATTAGTGTTACATAATATAATAATTTAATTCATTTTATTAACAAAATTAAGATAATACATTTGAATGTTGGGTTTTGAAAGTGATAAATGTGTAACGCAAATGGCCTCCATATGTTTATACAGTAGCACTGAACAAAATGTGATACTGCAGTACTGTTACTTATATTATGAACTCAATGGAGAGAATGTAATGGTATATTTTGTACAGTTTAATCATGTTTTATAACACACACTTGTATACAGGTTGCTGTTCCTGAGCATGAAAACAAAAATGAAATGTCACAGGGCCAAACTATGTGCAGCTGAAAGCCTGAAGTTAATCCAAATAGTAGAAAACAGGTCTGACTGCCACTTAATGGGCGTCTCCTCCAGTCACCAATAGCAAAAGTTCATTAAGCGGGAAGATTAAACAAGTTCAAACCTGTATAGAAATACAAGGGAAGGACTCAAATGGAGTTTGTGTTAATATGACATTTATTGTCTCTCTTTACACAGCTTCTCATGTATGCCAACATTAAAGCTGAAATTATTGTCAACTACATAGAGTATAGGTGTGTTATTGTTATTTTTCAAGAAGAATGCAATAAAATCTGTTAACACTTTAACAAAGGCTGAAAAAGCTTCATCAGCTGAGACTTAGTAAGTTATTATCTGATAAGGATTGTGTAAAGATAGATTGTGTATTTTTAGTGGTGTGTAGCTTTATATTTCAAAAATAATTTGTCCCATTAGCTTGTTTACTAGTTTGTTATAATACATGTTTGAACTAAATAATGCATCAAAATTCCTGTTTTTCTTCTCTTTTTTTAAAAACTTTATTTAACTTCTGTCTGACACACATTCATACCTTGAAGCTGCCCAGTATGACCATACTGAGGATAGTTTTAAACAAGATTCAATTTAAAATGGAAAAGTCAAAGTGAAAATGGCAACTAAATGGATAAACTATCGTTATATTGTATTACTCAGGACAATCAGGCCTTAATCAAATATTAAACAACCAGTTGGCCTCTGAACAGAGCAGGTGGGGGTTAATGGCTGTGTACCTCAGGGGTGGTAATGAGGGAAGAGTGCAGCTCTTTTATTAGATTTATCCAGCCCGTCCAGCAGTAGAACTGGTTACCTTTTGGTTGTCTTACCTTTGAGACCACCACTGGCCCTGTAGTGATACCATTGCCTGATATCAGAGAGAAGATGCTATATGACAACATTTTATAAATAAAATAAAATTGAATAATATATTACAGTAAAACATGGTTAATGTTGTATTTAACAAGTTTTAATCGGGCATAAAAGGGTACGAGTACAGGACTGGATAATACAATTCTCAATTTATTTTACTTTTATCTTTTCAGCAACTATTCAGATTAAATATTAAAGCAGCTACAATAAACCTTCATTTTAATTGATTCTGGCAGCCCCTGTGGACAAACGTGGTAGTGTTTCCACACCTCTTTGTATGATTTCAAGGTTGAATCTAATTGAATCCGACCCGGTGGCAGGAATAAAGGATAACTACAGAAATCTTCTCTTGGATGGTCCGGTTTGTTTATGAAGGTCATATATATATATATATATATATATCATAACCAGTTAAAATCTCTGTGTGTTTAAAGCTGCAGTAGGTGACTGTTATAAAAATAGCTTTTTGTCATATTTGCTGAAATTTTCACTGTGTCCTGACAGTAGTACATGGCACAGATAATCTGTGAAAAAATCTGGTTCCTCTGACTCAATCTATCGCTCCTAATGGCATTTACAAGAATCCACTGGTCTTGAACAAAAACAACCAATCAGAACAGAGAAAGATATAAGGAGGCTTTGGGTTGGAGGGTTGAAGCGATTGTTGAGACTCAATCCCAGGGTCCCAAAGCATCTGGGAATGTGACTCGACAATCAGCTACGTTTCTCTGCTCTGTTGTTTGTCTTGCTCTGGCAAATATTGATTAAAAGTCATTTTTAAAGCAAAAATACTAAATATGACCTAGTTCCAGATTCCTAGTTGTGAGGATTTACTGCGGCTATATTATATATATAATATATAATATATATAATATTTTTGATCGACTATTTTCACTGTTAGTGACAGTGATATCTTACAGCAATACTATTATTATTATTGTTGTTGTTGTTAGTAGTAGTTTTAGAGAAATGTTGAATACATTAAGATAAAAGTGAAATAAAATGTGGATGAGGATATTATTTAGTCTTCTACTTAGAACTACAACGCTAACCATGACTTATTGTACATTATTCAGTTTCAATGTATCTTATTTATTATTTATTCATCTGTTTCCGGGTGTCCCACTAATTTGTGCTCAGAGGACGTTGACCTGAGCGGCGCTAGGACCACGCGGAAAACAGGTCACAGAGTCACTTTACAACCAGGAGACAGTCTGAGGTTTCACTACGGCTGGAATTTGAACTAAGTTCCTCTCAACTACATTGTAATCTGTGGCGGTAAAAACAAACAAACAAACAAAAGCGCTTTATGTTATTTTAAAATCTCAGTTGAACGGGGCGTCAAGTCGTTTGCGTCTATGTCTTGTTCCTCTTTCCTCCTGTGATCTTCCTGAAAACACCTGCGTGCTTCAGGTAACTCACCGATGAAGAGGGAAGTCCCTGGGCAGTGAGCGGTGAAAAAGGTAAGGCCTCCTCTGAGATCAACCTTTACCACGACAAGAGCAGATGAAGTAACAGCAGAGGCTTGTAGGTGGGTTGTAGGTGTCCCTCTGTGTTTAATCGGAGCTGTGTGCGGGGCAATAAGTTCATAGTGAAGCTCCTGTGAAGGGACAGGTCCTCCCTCTGAGGTCCCTTCCTACTTTAGAAACAATGAGAGCCCTGGCTGCACACTGGCCGAAGGAGGGACACACTCTTTTTTTAAAAACACTTTCTTGCGCCGGTAATGTTTCACTGGTTTACAGTTTATATTACTCATACAGAAGCATGTGAGAAGCCTGATAAGCAGCAATTAGGTTGGTGATTATAACAGCAGAGACTGCTTTTGATGTTTAAAAAAGGACACACCCATGCACACCGTCCAGCAGGCCTGCAACATGCAGAACAGCTCAAGTGTGTGTGTGTGTGTGTGTGTGTGTGCAGCCATTAGTAATGACACAGAGGGTCAGCACACTGTGTCATGTTGTCCTTCAAAGTGACAGAATCAAAGAAAACAACACAGTGATACGATGCTGTCACCATATTTTGGCCCTTGATAATGATGGTAATACAGTAGCTGTGGTTCTATATATACTGCAAGTCACTCGTCTGCAGTCCGTATATGTGTGTTTATGTTGCTGAGGAGGAAAACAGATGCCTAAGTGGTAGGATAGTGTATTTTATCTGAGATCAAACCAATGTGTAACATAGTCACTGATCCTCACTGGTTTCAATACCAACTTATCTACCAGTACTGATCTGATAAAAGCACTTCCTCTTTCACACATATAAATCTGTATCATTAGAATGTAAGTTAACCTGAGGGCAGGGATCGCTGTAGCACTAAAAACTGGGTGGGTGGACCACTGTGACTTAATGAATGTGACTAATAGCTGAATTTACATTGACATTGACTAAGAAACTGAATGAGTTAGTTTTTGTTCGATGTACTTTGCCATCGCTGTGTGAATGTGTGTGGAA